CAGCAGCGCCCGCTCCAGACAGGCCCCTGGTCGGGGTCGGGATGCTCAGCCCAGAGATCCGGAGGAAGAGCCCCCGGGACTCAGTGACAGCGAGATGTCGGCCGGCGTTTCAGGTACAGACGTGTGGGGAGTGGATGGGGCGGCCATGGACCGAGCGCGGCCCTCCAGTGGCAGGGAGGGTAGAGCCTCCCTCCGGCCCTAGTGCGGGCTGCTGAGCTGCGTGGGAGAGCGGGGACTCCCTGGGGCTTGCTGCTTTGCCCGGGTACCCCAAGCACTTGGCGAGGCTCGGGACTCGGGTGTTTGGTCCAGAGAACGCTGCGCCCTCGAGTCCCCAACTCTTGGTGGTGGCCATACCCCGGTATGACGTGGGCTGCGGAGCTGGGTGCGATCGGCCCCCTCTGGTCCCGGTCTCCCTTACGCCTCCTGTCCCCAAGGGCCAAGGACGATCGGTCCCACCAGAGAGCTCCCAGGGTGGCTTAGCTCAGGCATTTCCCAAGGAAGCGGAAGCAGAAGAGCAGTTTCTCTGGGGGGAGGTAGGTGCAGAAGGACTCGGAGAAAGCCCAGCATAGAGGGTGCTGAGCCTGTGCGCGAGTGGGACCCCTGCAAGCTCAGTCACAGTAGCTGGCCACCCGCACTGTGCTCTGGAAGTGCTGATCGGACCAAGGGATTGACCTGCCTGGGCACTGGGAGAACCTAGACAATCCCTTTGCCGAAGTAAATGTGAGGGAAGAAAAGCAGAGCAGACATAGCAGGGCTATTCCCCTCAGCCTTTGACCTTTATGGACTGGCTAATGGGGGGGAGGGAGCACACAGTTTTACTTGCTGTTTTAAGGAAATGGAAACCTGCCGAGCCTTGCATTTGGGGTCGCGCGCCCCGCTGGTGGCTGGAGGCCTCCCTGCAGATTGTGAGAAGTGACCTATTTTCTAGCTGCCTTTTTAATCCCACAGGCCTTGGATCAGAGGCGCCTTTCCCCCAGGGACTTAGTCTTAAAAAGAAGGGGCCAGACCACTGACAGCAAAGAATAATGATGCCAAAGGAGGGGGCCCCTCCGTGCCAGACAAGCCCAGGTGACAGAGGTGCAGAACAGGGCAGTGCAAGAGAGACATGCAAAACCCCAGGAGAAAGAGTCCCCGTTGCCCTCTGCACAAGGAGACCCTTCTCTCGCCCCAGGCTTCTCAGCCGTTGCTGCTCTCTGCTGTGCTCCCGAAAGACAAACGCCTGGCCACTAGTACTCCCAGGTTACTAGCGTGCGCTCAGGCCTTGGGAAAGAGACCTGTGCGGGACATGTGCTCGGAGCCCTGTCCCAGGGACGGTGGGAGCAGCACAGCAGGCGCTGTGCCACCCTGTGCCCTCCTCCCCGGATAGCTGAGTGCAGACGCTCCTCCCCTAAGTTATCCCTAGGCTGGGAAACGCAGTGTGGCCTCTTCCTGGCTGCGTCTTTTCTCACTGCCCCTGCCATGGTGAGACACTATGAAGCAAGCAGTCCAGAGTCTGAATTGTGCATCGATAAGGAGGGGGTCCGGGTGGCTTGGGAGCTGGGCCTGGCTGGGTGTGGGGGTGTGCAGGGTGGCCTACGGCCTGACTGGGTTGGGGAGGTGGAGTGCCAGATAGTCTCTCCCCCTAGCCTGCCCTGAGCTAGGCGGGGTTGGAGTGTGCAACCGTGCCGTGTGACCTTCCCCGGGAACGTGGCCTGCTTGGGCCTAC